TTTTCGCATCAGGCAACATTAATCTGTAAAATTCATCAACAAATAGCAAGTTAACTGACGTGAACTTAGAACACCTGACTAGTGTATGCACTCATGCATACACACAACTAACAATGTGTACACCTCTAGAGCATCTATTGTATACGTTCGTTAGCACACCATGTCATTGTAGGGTAACTTCCTGGTTGCGGAGAGATTCGATATCACTGTATATTCATATTGGTCATGTATACCTCAATGGTCATTCTAGCAGTCACCGTATTCTCAGGTAAGTGACCTATATCATTCATAGCATACAAACATACCCTGTCCCCTGCATACACACACGCAAGCACGCATACACTACACACATGGAGGCACGTCATTAAATGACCTTAGCTGTTAATAGGACGTTAAAACAAAATTAAACCAAACCATACGGCTTACACTGTAACATGTATAAGGTATTATGCTTATGAAAGGCATTGTTTACTGCTTCTGTCCGGTATTTGGATTGTCGAATTGAAGTTTTAATATCTTCAATAAGATTCATCAGTTTGGAAATATGTAAAATCAAAGTTTTACTCTATAAACGAACAATATACGTATTAAACGTGTAGCAACATTGCAGGGCCGACTGGTCCATTTGCCAAGCTATGGCTGAGTGAGCGATTTGTATAAGTTACCTTGACAACAATGTCACTCGAATGTTTTGCCTATCGACAGGAAATGTATACACACTGTATGTACCCGTTTTATCTGTGCACTGACTGAATAAAGTGCACATTTTTAATTGTAAGTTTGTATGTTACTCGGCCAGTCTCGAGTGCAAATGTAAATTTCGATCAATAACTAATTCTTATGACCATACATGTACGGTAATATACCACGATAAGTTGTAAGATATATAAATAATATACATGTGTACCGGCTAAAAATAGTTGTAACTCTGAGTAAATGCTATCCGATGTTAACCGACTAGCTAGGGATAAGTTCTCATTAGCTAACTGAGTAGAGCATCAAACTAGTTAACCAAAGGTTCCGGATGTGACCTCCATCGGCGGCGTGAAGCACTATTAAAATTACCTCTGTTACATTGTTTTGAGGTTAACCGAACAATGCATGAATTAATATTACATCGATACACTCGTTAAATAAATAAAAAGTGTTAAGGATATGATGAGGAACAGAACAAAATACATTATATACCGAAGTAAATTTAATGAAACATACCTGAAATTTAAAGTTTGATTGTTATTCCTTCTTTATTCTGGTTCATACTTCGAAGCATGTGAAAATATAGACATGTTTTGGTTTGCTGCTAAGTTACGTCTCGTTTCCAGAATTCAAGCTCCTGTAAATAGAAATTTTGCACCTCAGTGCCGCCAACAATTTCAAGTCAGCCGGGCATGGATAGTCTGCTCTTTTTTTAGGTCACCTGAGCTTTCCTCAAGTGACCTTTTCTGATCGCTTTCCGTCCGTCGTCGTCCGTCCGTGCCTAAACTTTTTACATTTTCGACTTCTTCTCAAGAACCGGTAGATTTTTTTTTTTTCAAACTTGGTGAGAATCATCCTTGCCTTAGTAGATGAGGCTACAGAATTGTAAAATTGGGATACCTACCCCAAAGCCAGGGGCCATGGCGGGGCCCCGAAAGGAAAGTTAACCAATATTTCAAAAATCTTCTTCTCCAGACTCAGTTGTACTACAGTCTATTTTCCTGCATGGGTGGAAAGATCATCAGGGGGTTTATTTAAATGGTTAATTTCAGTACCCCCGGGCCATACGTTCTCCTTTGGGGAGGGGGTAAACGTTTACTATAGTTTATGGAGGGAAATAACACTTTTGGTTATATTTTGTTCATTTTCAGTAGGAAATTCTTCCTTGGTGAGAATCATCCTTGGAGGAAGATGATATAAAATTAAATAAAAACTGGGATTCCTGCCCCAACCCCAGGGGCCAGGGCGGGGCCCCGAATTGAAAATTAACCAATATTTAAAAAGTCTTCTTCTCCAGACTCAGAGGTTCTACAGTCATTTTTTTCTGCATGAACTGGAAGATCAGCAGGGGCTGTAAATAAATTGTAAATTTCAGTACCCCCGGGTCATCCTTTCTCCTTTTGGGAGGGGGTAAAGTTTACTATAGTTTATATTGAGAAATAACACTTTTTGGTATAGTTTGTTCATTTTCAGCCGGAAATTAATCTTACTTGGTGAGAATCATCCTTGGTAGAAGATTGTATCAAATAAATAAAATTGGGATTCCTGTCCCAACCTAAGGGGCCAGGGCGGGGCGCCGAAGGGTAAAATTAACAATATTTCAAAATCTTCTTCTTCAGACTCAGAAACACTACAGTCAATTTTTCTGTTTGAATGAGAAGTTCATCAGGTGCTTTATTTCAGTTGTAAATTTCAATACCCCTGGGCCATCCGTTCTCTTTTGGGGAGGGGGTAAAGTTTATTAAAGTTCATATAGGTAAATACCACTTATTCTTACTTGATGAGAATCATTTTTGGAGGAAGATGGTGTGAAATTTAAAAAAAATGTGATTCCTGCCCCAACCCCAGGGGCTGGATGGGGCCCAAATGGGGAATATGGTTAAAAGTTTAAATATCTTCATCAGACTAAGATTTTTACGAATACTCTTTATGAATCGAAAGGTACTTAGGTACATTACCTAAATTGTAAATTTCATTATCCCCCAGGTCATCTGCTCTCCCTTGGGGAAAGTGGTAACGTTTACTATAGTTTATATTATGTTTATAACACTTTTGGTATATTTTGTCTACTTTCGGCAAGACATTAATCAAACTTGGCTGGAATAATTGTGATGAGATGGCAATTAGATGGCATGAACAAATAATATCTGACCTTGCCCCAGGGGTTGGAGTGGTGGGGCAAAAAAGGGGGAAATGGCTGATATTTAAAATATCTCTGCACTCAGATGTACAAGATTATTTTTTTTTTATGGGTGGAAATGCCTTTAGGTGCATTATATAATCCCTTTGGTCATCTGTTCTCTTTGCAATTGGTTTATATAGATAAAAACCACTTCTGACTAAATCTTGTCTATTTCAGCAAGACATAATTCAAACTTGGGGAAAATGATTATAATGAAATTGAAATCAAATAATATCAGAAAGTAAGATCCTGACCTATCCAATGGGTTGGCCAAAGAGGAAAATTGGCTAAATAATAATATATGCTATATTTATCTATAGCAAAATAATTCATTTTTTAGGTTTTGTTTTGTTTGATTAGTATTGTTTAACGTATTTGAATAGTTTTTAAAGTTCTTATCCTTTGGTAACATGATAGGTATTGTATTTCACATTGTTTACTTCTTGATTTCCACATTTTGTACATCTCAACAATGAAATAGAGCTACCAGTACCTATAATATATAAATCAGGTTAACGCTTAGGCCCTTGGGCCTCTTGTTCTTTTATCTGATCATCCAACCTTCCTTTTCTGATCATATCGTTGATTAGGCTAACCAATCTTTCATTCTTAATTTCTGTCCCTGTCGCCTCGTCTGCAGCGATTTCCTTTGCCGTTTCTTAATGTATCCAGGCAGGTTATCGTCATTTGAATTATGAACATGGTGTTAGTTCACGCAGATTCGTTCGATCTAAGATCCATATTTCCGAGAATTTCGCCTTCATAATCGAATATTCTGACAATTTTTGGGGAATTTTGGATGGCGGTCATACGACCCGCCGAATGAGTCAAGACTGAACAATCCCGTTGGGCAAAGTCTTTTGAATAGTGTGCCTCTATGGGAACGCATCTGGTCAGAATTACGATTAATTTTAAGTTCGTGTTAAACACAATGAACAAAATCGTACAATTGATCACAAATAATCAGTCGTATAAGAATAGGATGGAATAAGAGGAAACGGAGCCCATTCTAAATTTTCTCAAATGAAGGCACGTTAGGAATAATGAAGCTGCACACGCATTTCCCGATGTTTCGATATTAACTGAATGGAGAGATAATTGTAATTCTATTGACATTTAAGTTATATTATTATATTGACATATCTATTACTCGAATACGGACCAGTATTAACATTTTAAAACAAGGAATGATACTTGTGCATGGTCTTTCTTCGTATGTATAGGAAGTACCCGTAATAAACATGTAGGAACTCGTTTTATCACTGCTGTATTCAGTTAAACAGTTTGTCTTGTAGCCCTGCTCTATACTAGGCGAGTGGTGACTGTGACTTCTCATAAAAATCGCATGAAAAGCTCGAGTTAACGTTCAATTTCCATCCCAAAAACTCCAAAATAAACAATCAACATTAGCGGACAAAACGATGTCAATGACAGATAAATGACATCTTATTATCATAGCGTAAAAATGGCGTTCAAACACTAGAAAAATATATCTATTTGCCGATTTAAACAGACGATGAGTTGTTTAATACGAGGTCTGGTCTGTTTCGTTTGTTATCTGTTTGTAGGATTCTTGTACAGACGACTATAACAATGCATGTTGGTGAACCGCCATATTTTTAATAACAACACTGTAAACACGTAGATTCCATAGTAGGTTAGTGAACCACGGTACGCATGGTACCTAAAACGAACCACATACGACACATGGTCGAGTTTAGTAATTCAACATTCTGTATCACACGCGAATTTATACAAAGTGTAGTACAATATAATCTGAATATTGAGACTAGAGGTTTTTGGACGCCTACAAATCATAGGGGTATTAACAAGATTGTTAACTTACCATCATTACACGATATTATAGTAACTATCATGTTGGTTCCGCCATTGGAATGGCTCAAATGATCCATTGTCGAAGGGCCATAAAACACTTCAAAACAATCGCCGTTTGAATGGCCCTAAATGCTCTACATTGTCCCTAAACATGTCATGCAAATTCGGCCAGGTAGTCTGTGTAACAGTAATGAACAACGTTGATCACATTCTTGATCTCTGAACTCGGAACCACATATCAGCCGAGCTATACTGGTATCTCAGATCATGTTTTGGTGTGTTTCAGTTTCTGGTCTGTCCATCACCATAACAGGAACAAGTACTTTGGTAACGCCGACATCAGAACTTAGAATCATGTGTCAGCCAAGCTCAGTTGTTGGTATCAGTGATGTCAGTACTATTAGTGTTCGAAAAAACACTAGCAGTACTTATTATACATCAATAGTGACTGTAACCTATAATAAAGCCAGTTCATCATCAGTAATCAGCTGGGGTAACACAGCTTACCAGAACAGACAGGGTGTGTCAGCGACAGGAAATGTGGATAGTGTCGGTGGTGCTCGGCTTGTGTTAACGATCTCCACAAACAACACACGATGTGAGGATGGAGGAGCCTACAAGTGTAATATGGGAGTAATTCTGACAGCAGGTGGTGGTGTCGTGGTTTCTGCTGCTAAATATATTACTGCTACAGGTACGTATCTCACATTTTTATAACAGAAATATTCTAGAATGAAAGAAAAAAAGGTAAAGAAGAAAGGACTGGTATATTACTATGAAATACCCGCAGTTACTGGTAAATGGTGAAAAACCAGTTTTTACCTTGCTGTCCTTGTGTCAAGAGTTGATTTCATCTTTCCCATGTAGCAGTAAATGATCGCGAGTGCATGCATTTGTCACTAATTAATGTCTTATAAAAGGGCTTTTTAAAACCTTTCTATCAAACAGTATTTGGAAAGTTTTGGAGCATGTGGCTGATTTCCTTAAGATTTCTTCATCTTTCACCACACATCCAGTATATAGACTCGCTGCGACTGAAAAATTGTTTAATATGTAAAATATATATTTGTATATAAAAGTAGTAATAGACAGACAAACAAAGGATTGTTACAACTCGTTAAATAATATTCATTAAGACATTATTATTAATTCTTATATATATATATATATATGAGCCGACCTACACTAACTCCCTGTTTGTTACGCTATCTCCCAATGTTAAACATATCCAATACATCTGTTACAGTTCTGCCGACCTACATCAACACCCGGATGTTGACGCCTTCTTCTTATGTGAATACAGTCAATTTTAATATGTTACAGCTCTGCCGACCTACACTAAATCCCTGTTTGTTACTCCATCTCCCAATGTTAAACATAGCTAATATATATATATATATATGAGCCGACCTACACTAACTCCCTGTTTGTCACGCCATCTCCCAATGTTAAACATACCCAATATATCTGTTACAGTTCTGCCGACCTACATCAACACCCGGATGTTGACGCCTTCTTCTTATGTGAATACAGTCAATTTTAATATGTTACAGCTCTGCCGACCTACACTAAATCCCTGTTTGTTACTCCATCTCCCAATGTTAAACATAGCCAATATATCTGTTACAGTTCTGCCGACCTACACTTACTCCCTGTTTGTTACGCTATCTCCCAATGTTAAACATATGCAATACATCTGTTACAGTTCTGCCGACCTACACTTACTCCCTGTTTGTTACGCCATCTCCCAATGTTAAACATAACCAATATGTCTGTTACAATTCTGCCGACCTACACTAACTCCCTGTTTGTTTCGCCATCTCCCAATGTTAAACATAGCCAATATATCTGTTACAGTTCTGCCCACCAACACTAACTCCCTGTTTGTAACGCAAACTCCTAATGTTAAACATAGCCAATATATCTGTTACAGTTCTGCCCACCAACACTAACTCCCTGTTTGTTACGCCATCTTCCAATGTAAAACATAGCCAATATATCTGTTACAGTTCTGCCGACCTACACTAACTCCCTGTTTGTTTCGCCATCTCCCAATGTTAAACATAGCTAATATATCTGTTACAGTTCTGCCGACCTACACTTACTCCCTGTTTGTTACGCCATCTCCCAATGTAAAACATAGCCAATATATCTGTTACAGTTCTGCCGACCAACACTAACTCCCTGTTTGTAACGCAAACTCCTAATGTTAAACATAGCCAATATATCTGTTACAGTTCTGCCGACCTACACTAACGCCCTGTTTGTTACGCGATTTCCCAATTTTAAACATAGCCAATATATCTGTTACAGTTCTGCCGACCTACACTAACTCCCTGTTTGTTACGCGATTTCCCAATGTTAAACATAGCCAATATATCTGTTACAGTTCTGCCGACCTACACTAACTCCCTGTTTGTTACGCCATCTTCCAATATTAAACATAGCCAATATATCTGTTACAGTTCTGCCGACCAACACTAACTCCCTGTTTGTTACGCCATCTCCCAATGTTAAACATAGCCAATATATCTGTTACAGTTCTGCCGACCTACACTAACTCCCTGTTTGTTACGCCATCTCCCAATGTTAAACATAGCCAATATATCTGTTACAGTTCTGCCGACCTACACTAACTCTCTGTTTGTTACGCCATCTCCCAATGTTAAACATAGCCAATATATCTGTTACAGTTCTGCCGACCAACACTAACTCCCTGTTTGTTACGCTATCTCCCAATGTTAAACATAGCTAATATATCTGTTACAGTTCTGCCGACCTACACCAACGCCCTGTATGTTACGCCATCTCCCAATGTGAATGGTCAGTATTACTCTGTGGGTACCACACTAACGTTCAGCTGTTCCGGTACTGTAGGCAGTGACAAGAAGATCCACACGTGGTGTTACAAACAAGCAGGCAGCAATACCGGATTTACGGTACAGTTTACGTCATGTGTTACTCTTGTGCGGTACACAGTCCACTTACTACATATTGTTATGTCACGTTTGATTAGCTCTAATATTTACACCAAAATTCCCTGTCTACGGCACACACACACACATGCACGCTTACACAACACACATTGAGGAACGTCCTTAAATGACCTTAGCTATAAATAGGACGTTAAACAATATTAACCAAACCTAACTATAATATTGGAAAATCACTAAAACGTGGTACAGGACGACCGTGCTTACTTTCTTATTAGCTTTACCATAACCGGTAGCAAACACTCAACTAGCTGATGAAGATGTTTGGTATTAAGTTAGAATGAGTTTTGCTATTATGTCGATAAGACTTTGGTATTATTGTGTAGATTTCTGCTTTATAGGATTACCCTACTGCAGCGGACATTAATCAGAATGAAAATGGTTTGGTCCAGGACGGGTGTAACTACAGACGCAGCAGTACACTTACCTACAATGTAACGGCAGCAGATACAGAAACCTCATATATGTGTGAACCATTCACTGGCAGCTTGTGTGGTACAAGTGCAGCAGGCCTGAAAACCAACTTTACCATCAGAAACTGTAAGTATGAAAGCTTATCATCCTTGATTAAATTCAAAGGACAATTATACATAAACGAAAAACGGGCACAAGAACTAGCAACTTACGTATGTTTCACTCTTATCCTGGCGAAGGTTAGAAATAGGTTACTTAACTATAGTTATTTTAAAGGTATTCCAGATAATCTGTTTATCCGATAGGTCAGTAACTAAGGACAGAACATCAGGAAAAGATAAGAGAAAAGCGGACAGTCAACAAATCCTTGATTAGAACTCCGAATAAACTTATCGAAACTGGGCAAAATATGGACAACAAATGAAACAGCACAATCAGACGGGAATAAGACCAGGTTTTCTGGAAGAATAAGCGTGTTCCGATTTATCAACAACATCCGCCATGTTAGGCAAGATAATTTTAAGGTGATGTCACGTTTACATAGGTAGAAAGGGAAAATTGTCAACGCCATCAACGTTATTCAATCCCCAACGGTTGCCGTGGGGGAGATACTATTTCACCTGGAGTACCAGATTTGGGATGGCGGAGTGAAAGTGCAAGCAAGAGGAACGTCACTATTAAAGAACTATGTCACTGTGCTTTGGCCTTTACTTTGCAAATGTTTGTTCGGGGCATATTTTCTATACTTTTTCAACTGGAGTAACCATATTTGATTTACAAGAACATTTTGGGATTACAGAGTGCAAGAAGTAGGTAACTGTGACCTGATTGTGACCTATGCTTCCTGACATAAGTGTACTGCTTGTTAAATATAGAAAACAACCGGTGCGGGACTATATATTTTCTTACAATATATTGCCGTGTTATTTATGTAGCATTTTATTTGAAGCATCACATAATATGCCAACTCCAATTACAATATGTATCTCAGACACTAATCAACATAATTTCTCTTTAAATTAAAACATATATTATTTCGCAGCAATGTCATGTTTACCTGATTATATTTAAATTCTGTGTTGCATTTGCCTATATGTCGTTAGTAAACCAAATTGCAGTATATGAGGTTGTATACTACAATTTACAGTGATACGACGAATGTAAGAATACAGCTGGTACAAGATAAACAAACATGGCCTCCCGATACTTTCGGTTTCAATAGGCCTATAGTCGGAAAACATTATGGTTTCGTTAGCATTTAGCAATATAGGTAATCGCAAAAAAAAAAGCAACTTGACAAATATGACAATATAAATCTATTATAAGATGTGTAGGTACCACAAAATTATTGTAAGCGCCCATCTAGATATGAAATTACCAAGTTTGTCAACGTCATCACACAGTGGATCGGTTTCGAGATTTTTAGTTATGCATAACATCAGTGAATAACCACAACGCTAAAATTCAGCATTTCTAAAACCTTGTAAAAGTCGAGGGTATCGACAAGGCTTTAAAATGTGTATAAATACCTTTTTAAGTGTTGTGGTTTTTCAGTGATGTCATCCATTACTCAAAATCGCAAAACCGAGCCCCTGTGAACGTCGTCTGCTAGCGATGCTAATCTGACCGATTAGACATGGAATCTATTTTAAACGAAATGTCCTTGGAATCGTTATCACCTTCTGAAAGGACCACTTTAATTAAACGTTTCCGAGTATATATGCTTCTGTAAATAACGTAATATTCCAGTCGAAGGAAAAATAAGCATTTCCGAGGAAACAATCAAGTCCGTTCAGCGCCGCATCACTTCAAAATACATGTTATCTATCAATGCGCGGAAAACAGCTTTAATTTTAAATTTTTAAGCAGAAGTTAGGCAATTATTAACAATTTTTCAACATAAACACTCATATGAAATAAATAATAAAGTTAAGTTTGTGTTCAAACCATTTTATGTGCGTGTGGTTTTCAATGACACGAGGGACTATATTATTTCTTCTGGAAATATCGGCTGTTCTGGGATTTGAATTTACTGACGTCACTGATATGATAAGCGGGAAATTCAAACGTATTTTTGCTTCAGTTACTATACAAAACAAACTAACTATATACATATAAATGTAAATATAAGCATTGAACTGTTACCAGATGCAGTATACAGTCGATATGAATGCATACTGCATCTGCTAACAGTTAAATGCTTAAATATACCCATTTACACATATAGGTCTATGAAAAGTCTACCGTAGGGATTAAGGGATTTTATCCCAATATGGTCTGGAGCATCCTCTGGCCAATGGTACTTTTGTATAAACGGTGAGGTCGGCCCCCCTGGGGTAGAAAAGCGGGCCCAATAGGGAAAATAGAGGTAAAACCTTTCAAATTCTTTTTCCCCCGTAAGGATTGAGGATTATCGTAATTAAGTCTGGAGCATCCTTGGACCAAGGGGACTCAATTTTGTAAAAGCATTCGGTTTGGACCCTCTGGGGGCAGAGGAGCGGGGCCCAATGGGGAAATTATATTATATGTTATAAGATTTTTTGTCCATGCTTACTGAGCTTTTCTCAATTGACCTATTCTGATCAGTTTCCGTCCGTTGTCGTCCGTTATGCGTATTTGTTTTTTACATTATTGACTTCATCTCATGAACCAGTGAATGGATTTATTTTTCAAACTTGGTCAGAATCATCCTTGATAGATGAGGCTACGCAATTGTAAAATTGGGATTCCTGTCCCAACCTCAGGGGTAAGGGCAGGGCCCCAAAGGGAAAATTTACCAATATTACCAAATTCTTCTTCTCAAGACTCAGAAGTACTACAGTCCTCCCGGGCCATCTGTTTTTCCTTCGGGAAGGGACACATTTGGGTATATTTAGCCGATTTTCAATTGGAATTTAGTCTTACTTGGTCAGAAGCATCCTTGAAAGAAGTTGGTTCAAATTGTAAAATTGGAATTAATCCCTCAACTACAGGGGCCCGGGTGGGGCTCCAACGGGAAAATAAACCAAAATTTCAAAAATCTACTTTTCAAAACTCAGAGGTACTTCAGTCAATGTCTTTGCATGGTTGGAAAAATCATCAGGGGCTTTATTTAAATTGTAAAAAAAAACCGGGCCATTCGTTTTTAACAACAGTTTATATAGAGAACTAACACTTTTGGGTATATTTTGTTCATTTTCAGCAGGAAATTGTTCAAACTAAGTCAGAATCATCTTTAATTGAGAGGGTATTGCATTGTAAAATTGGGATTCCTGTCCCATCCCAAAGGGCTAGGGCGGGGACACAAAGGGAAAATTACCAATAATATATTAATACACAATAATTTAAATCATGAATATTTACAAACATTCGCAACTATTTAAGTGTTCAATGTAGTTGCTTCTTATACAGCAACACATACAAGTAGGCGTAACAAGTCGTACATGTTTCGTCAGTAAATTGAAGTAGTTATCATGATTTGCTTGCATAACACACAGTGTTGACTTTGAATATCTGAGATTTAAACAGATTTTTTATTATTCGGCAAGAAGTCTACTTCTTCAGACTCCGAGGTACTACAATCAAATTCTGTGCATGGATGACAATTCCATCAGGGGCATTTTCTATTTTTCAATTTCATTACCCCCGGACCATCCATTTTCGCTTGGGTAAGTGGTAACGTTTACTTTAGATTATACAAGGAAATAACACTTATGGGTACATTTTGTCCGTTTTGAGCAGTTCAATCTTGATTGGAATGATTATGGTGCCAGATGGCAAATAGATTGCATGAGAAAATAATACCCTGCTTCATCCCCAGGGGCTGGGTGGTGGGGTCTAAATGGGGGAAATGGTTTAAAAATAAAATCTTATTCATCAGACTCTGATGTTTTACAAAGAAATACTCTTCATGGAAAGAAAGGTCATTAGGTGCATTATCTAAATTGTAAATTTCAGTATCCGCCAGGTCATCTGCTCTGCTTTGGAGGGGGTAAAGTTAACTGGTTTATATAGGGAAGTAACACTTTTGACTATATCTTGTCCATTTTCGGCAAGAAATTATTCAAACATGATTAGAATAGTTATAATGAAATTGAAATCAAATAGAATCAGAAAGTAAAATCCTGACCTATCCAAGGGGTTGGCGAAAGAGGAATATTGGATAAATAACATTACCAAAATAATATATTAGAATAGTTTTTAAATTTCTTATCCTTTGGTGATATGACAAGTTTTATATTTTACTTCGTTTACATGTTGATTTCAATATCACATCTCAACAATGACATTGAATTTCCAGTACCTATAATATGACTCAGGTGACCGCTAAGGCCCTTTGACCTCTTGTTTATGGTGTTGGCGGCATCTCTGTCAATATTTACGATATAGGACAAAAGCAACACCAACTTATAAGCCTGAACATGAACATATGGGGCATTGCCTAAAAAGTAATCATACATGAATATTTATAATACCTGTTTGCATGATAGAGCTACATGTTTCTCTTATAAGAAAGAAGTCTCATGGCATCTCTCATATTACATGAACAGGAGTATTGTGATATATATACACTTTATTGGGGCGTTATTGGTCATGTATGGCCTCATAAGAAGTTAACTTGAATTTATTTACCAATTTCTTTTATAAACATCAGATTGGTTATTGAGGCTTTCTTTTTTGGTGCAGCCTTTTCCCAATGCGTATACTTAGTTGCCCAACCATAGCAACGAAATCGCGTTGCTACACAAAAATATGATGTGTTTGGATAGTTAGCATGCAGAAATGAAAAACTCCGCGTGTGACAAACAAATTTAAAATCCCCGTTGAGGCTGGAAATGACCCTAAACGCCCCTAGTCCTTTCCGACTATTCGGATATTTATTTTTGTTACCTGTTTGTTGTCTTCCGACCGAGTAACCGGCTAACCGTTGACAACCCTAGTTTTAACCACATTGTGTGCAGAGCCTGCTTTTGCAGTGGGACTCATATTTTTGTAAAGTGTGGAGTGTGGCCTCCCGAGGGGACAAAGGGGTGGTTGCTTATTATCCAGATGAGCGATACAGGCCCTCGGGGCCTCTTGTTAGAAATAAACGTAAATGTCCGTATGAAGACGTCCGTGTGTTTCAGTGTATGTTTCATAAATTTATGTTTCGTTATCCGGGAATTTTAATGAAGCTGATACTAAAAATATTTTGAATACTTTTATTTAGATGTGCCTGTAACAACGAAATATGTTCAAGATTCAGTTGAAAGCACAGGTATGTTGTCCTCTTTTTAACTGTAAATGGGTTTTTTCTGTGTTGGGGAGGATCGAGTAAAACGTTCAGTGTTTGGGAGCTTCTTCCTTCTTAGTGAAAAATATTTCATGAAATAGCGTGAATAATACAATTACTGATAAAGGCACCAACGTCTTCGAATTCGACAACAAATATAGTATGACTTATAAATATGTGGTTTTAACATACATATGTGCTGTTTTAACAAATCACTGAGTAAGATTAACTTAAAAAAAAATTACAACGCCATTCGTTCCGCCGAAATTATCCACCCCACATGGAAAAAGTTGCATTGTTATATTTAATGAGAAATTTCCCATGGTTACTTATTATCCAGATGAGCGATACAGGCCCTCTGGGCCTCCTGTAAGAAATAAAAGTAAACGTCCGTATGAAGACGTCCGTGTGTTTCAGTTTATGTTTTATAAATTTCTGTCTCGTTATCCGGGATGTTTTATGAAGCTGATACTTATAANCGTACTACAGTCTTCCCGGGCCATCTGTTTTCCCTTCGGGAGGGGATACATTTTGGTATATTTAGTCGATTTTCAATTGGAAATTACTCTTACTTGGTCAGAAGCATCCTTGTAAGAAGTTGGGAAAATAAACCAATATTTTAAAAATCTTCTTTTCAAAACTCAGAGGTACTTCAGTCAATTTCTTTGCATGGTTGGAAAAATCATCATGGGTTTATTTAAATTGTAAAAAAAAACGGGCCATTCGTTTTTCCTTCGGAAACTTGACAACAGTTTATATAGAGAACTAACACTTTTGGGTATATTTTGTTCATTTTCAGCAGGAAATTGTTCAAACTAAGTCAGAATCATCTATAATTGAGGAGGGTATTGCATTGTAAAATTGGGATTCCTGTCCAATCCCCAAGGTCTAGTGCGGGGACACAAAGGGAAAATTTACCAATAATATATTAATACACAATAATTTCAATCATGAATATTTACAAACATTCGCAACTATTTAAGTGTTCAATATAGTTGCTTCTTATACAGCAATACATACAAGTAGGCGTAACAAGTCACATGTTTCGTCAGTAAATTGAAGTAGTTATCAGGGTTTGCTTGCATAACACACAGTGTTGACTTTGAATATCTGAGATTTAAACAGTTTTTTTTTTATTTTTCGGCAAGAAAGTCTACTTCTTCAGACTCAGAGGTACTACAATCAACTTCTGTGCATGGATGACAATTCCATCAGGGGGTTTATCTATTTTTCAATTTCATTACCCCCGGACCATCCATTTTCGCTTGGGTAAGTGGTAACGTTTACTTTAGATTATACAAGGAAATAACACTTATGGGTATATTTTGTCCATTTTGAGCAGTTCAATCTTGATTGGAATGATTATGGTGCCAGATGGCAAATAGATTGTATGAGAAAATTATATCCTGCTTCATCCCCAGGGGCTAGGTGGTGGGGCCAAAATGGGGAAAATGGTTTTAAAATAAAAATCTTATTTATCAGACTCTGAGGTTTTACAAACAAATACTCTTCATGGAAAGAAAGGTCCTAAGGTGCATTATCTAATTTGTAAATTTCATTTTCCGCCATGTCATCTGCTCTCCTTTGGAGAGGGTAAAATTAACTGGTTTATATAGGGAAATAACACTTCTGACTATATCTTGTCCATTTTCGGCAAGAAATTATTCAAACATGATTAGAATAGTTATAATGAATTGAAATAAAATAGAATCAGAAAGTAAAATCCTGACATATCCTAGGGGTTGGCCAAAGGGGAAAATTTGCTAAATAACATTACCAAAATAATATATTAGAATAGTTTTTAAAGTTCTTATCCTTTGGTGATATGACAAGTTTTATTTTTTACTTCGTTTACATGTTGATTTCAATATCACAACTTAACAATGACATTGAATTTCCAGTACTTATAATATGACTCAGGTGACCGCTATGACCCTTTGACCTCTTGTTTATGGTGTTGGCGGCATCTCTGTCAATATTTACAATATAGAACAAAAGCAACACCAACTTATAAGCCTGAACATGAACATATTGGGCATTGCCTAAAAAGTAATCATACATGAATATTTATAATACCTGTTTGCATGATAGAGCTACACGTATCTCTTGTAAGTAAGAAGTTTCATGGTATCTCTCATATTACATGAACAGGAGTATTGTGATATATATACACTTTATTGGGGCGTTATTGGTCATAGATGATCTCATAAGAAGTTAACTTGATTTTTTTTACCAATTTCTTTTATAAACATCAGATTGGTTATTGGGGCTTTCTTTTTTGGTGCAGATTTATTCCAATGCGCATACTTAGTTGTCCAACCATAGCAACGAAATCGCGTTGCTATACAAAAATATGTGTTTGGATAGTTAGCATGCAGAAATGAAAACCTCCGCATGTGACAAACAAATTCAAAATCCCCAATGAGGCTGGAAATGACCATTAACGCCCCTAGTCCTTTCCGACTATTCGGATATTTATTTGTGTTACCTGTTCGTTGTCTTCCGACCGAGTAACCGGCTAACCGTTGACAACCCTAGTTTTAACCATATTGTGTGCAGAGTCTGCTTTTGCAGTGGGACTCATGTTTTTGTATAGTGTGGAGTGTGGTCTCTCGAGGGGACAAAGGGGTGGTTACTTATTATCCAGATGAGCGATACAGGCCCGCGGGGCCTCTTGCTAGAAATAAAAATTAAACGTCCGTATGAAGACGTCCGTGTGTTTCAGTGTATGTTTTATAAGTTTATGTGTCGTTATCCGGGAATTTTAATGAAGCTGATACTTATAATATTTTGAATACTTTTATTTAGATGTGCCTTTAACAACGAAACCTGTTCAAGATTCAGTGGAAAGCACAGGTATGTTGTCCTCTTTTAAATTGTATTTTTTTTCGTTTTTCGGTGTTGGGGAGGATCAAATAAAACGTTCAGTGTTTGGGAGCGTCTTCCTACTTAGTGAAAAATATATCATAATATAATTACTGATAAAGGCACCAACCCCTATAATGTGACTTATAAATATGTGGTTTTAATTATCTACGCAGGTGACGTCATACCTTGGATCGTTGTCGCTGTTGTATTTATCGTTATCACCATCGCCCTCATTTTTGCTGTTGTTTATCTCTGTCTACACGTAGGAAAATACAAAGGTAACGACGGCTTTCATTATTTATTTTGTAAACTAAAAATTATGGGTTATGCATAATAACAAATCTGATTTAATCTCAGATATTCAAAGTCAACCATGTGTGTTATGCAAGCAAACCTAGATAACTACATCAATTTATTGACCAAACATGTACGACTGGTTACGCCTACTTGTAAGTGTTGCTGCATAAGAAGCAACTACCCTGAACACTTTAATACTTCCGGAAGTTTGGATAGTATTCATTATTTATATTCTTGTATATTAATATATGAAAACCATTACAAATATATTTTATTTCGGTAGTGCATGAACACACTTCTTATCCACTGTCATTTTATTGTTATTTTGGTTTTGCTTATAATTGCCATTTGAAAGGGGTTCAGTTTGATAACTAAACACATCTTTTTAACCAACAGAACGTTTACGTGAACGTGTAGAGTACCAGGGGATTAACACGTAAATATGCTTTACCTTTTCATTGTATTATTCCGTAAGGAAACGTTACATACACTGCGACTTTGTCAAGTTATTTAGTTCAGATGTTTTCATAGTCACTCGTTGCATTTGCTGTTCTAGTAAATTAAGGCAACACCAATGCTCTAAAACGTTTGCTAAACGTTGTTGAAATTCATTTGTAATAACTAGCATTACATTTCGTAATTGATGTATATCTTAAATACATTTGAACATTTCAAGTTTAGATACATCTTTTCACCAAATAACTAACTAAATAACTGTTTGATTTTATTGTGTTATGTTTTAAACAGCGTATTCTCTAGAAGAGAGGAGTATGTGTACAGCCCCACTGACAATTACGAGATACCACAAATATAGACTTAACAGGATATTGACACTGGCCCAAGGCGAGGACGTGTACAGCACCACTGACAATTACGAGATACTACAAATATAGACTTAACAGGATATTGACACTGGCCCAAGGCGAGGATATGTACAGCACCACTCACAATTACGAGATACCAGAAATATAGACTTAACAGTATATAAACAATGGCACAAGGCGAGTCTGTGTACAGCACCCCTGACAATTACGAGATACCAGAAATATAGACTTAACAGTATATAAACAATGGCACAAGGCGAGTCTGTGTACAGCACCACTGGCAATTACGAGATACCACATATATAGTCTTAACAGGATATTGTCACTGGCCCAAGGCGAGATGTGTACAGCACCACTGTCAATTACGAGATACCACAAAGATAGATTTAACAGGATATTGACACTTGCCCATGGCGTGGATGTGTACAGCTACACTCACAGTTACGATATACCACAAATATAGACTAAACAGGATATTGACACTGGCCTAAGGCGAGGCTGTGTACAGTACCACTGACAATTACGACATATCACAAATATAGTATTAACAGGATATAAACACTGGCCTAAGGCGAGGATGTGTACAGCCCCACTGACAATTACGAGGTACAACAAATATAGACTTGACAGGATATTGACACTGGCCTAAGGCGAGGATGTGTACAGCACAACCGACAATTACGAGATACCGCAAATATAGTATTAACAGGATATAAACAATGGCACAATGCGAGTCTGTGTACAGCACCACTGACAATTACGAGATACAACAAATATAGACTAGATATTGACACTGGCCCCACAAATATCGACTCAACAGGATATGAACACTGGCAAAAGGCGAAGATGATCACACCAGTAAATTACTAGATATTGCACTGTACTTCAAGGAAAGGATAACACTACTTTGAATAGGACAGTATAGTCCATCGCGATGACGTTCACGCTAGCTCGCGGTCCACGTAAGGAAAGTTCACGCTAAAAAGACTTGTTAGAGGTATAACACTGGACAAAGGAGAAGAGTTTTATACTACTGGCGGAAACACGGTAGCCTAACACAAAGCATACCCGGTCTCCAGCACACATACACACATGTACGCCTACAAAACACACATGGTGGCACGTCCTTAAATGACTTTTCTGTTATTAGGACGTTAAACAATAGAAAACCAAAACACATATGCCCTTCAAATGTGCTTACTATATATTTACATCGTGTGTACTAATATTCGCTGTCAGGATAAATTCGCCCTTATAGTGGATGGCGAAATAGGCGAAGTTAAACTAAGACGAATGTTTCCCGATGCACAGTAATGCATTAGCACGTTATACTTTGACGTCACAAATAACCTTTGTTTTAGATCAGACGTATAGTGACAATAAACAACGTCAGTAATTTTACTTGATATATGTATGTGAAAAAAAACGGTGACCCGAAGACAATAGCAGCAGACTGTGTAATGCTTGTGGATAGACCGGTGTCTACTTTATAAGGAAATTTGCATTTGTAAATGTGTTTTTTTACGAAACCTTATATTTTTCTTTCATAATAAAGGTCCTGAGAAATATATTATAGTAATGTTTTGTGTTTAATATTTACTCCACATTAAAGTTCCCCCAGACTGGTCGAGCGGGTGCAGAAGGAGAGCAATCTTCAGTGACTACAAACACTTTTTGTACTAGGGGTTATTTCCTACAAGTGTAAAATTACACCATTATATGTATCAGGTCACTCAATTGAGCAGTTATCTTTTCCTTTCCTAACTTTATTTGTTAATTTCCATTCCTTGTTCTTTTTAGCCAAGGATCATCAGATGGGGGGGCTAGTCAAATTATCCTTCGTCCTTGATCCGTCTTCCGTCCATCCGTCGTTCTGTGAGTCCTTAAGCAGTTCTTGTTAGCATAATATCTCAGAAAACCCGAAACATCTTTCTCAAATCTCACATGAAGGTTCCACATGGTCCCTCATTATGCATATTGAATTTTGGGACTAATCGAAAATCTAAGATGTCCTATTCTGACTTTATTTCACTTTCACTTCGTTACTTAGAGATTATGATTGATAGGTAAAGTGTATATGTCATTAATAGGAGCAAGGCAACGTTTAATGATATTACTTCATATGAATCAATGAATCATAGTAATTGAAATTTTTAATCATATCCATCATATATATTTAAATAGTCACAGTATTCACAGGTAGGTGATCTTTGTCATTCATGGGTCAATAACTTATTGTCATAAAGAAGGTTGTATTCGGCTCATATTACCGGTAACATGTAAAAGGTATTATGATGTAGGCTTTATTTCCTGTTTCGTTCCGGTATTCTCATCTCAAATTGCTAACTGTAAGTTTTAACATTTTCAATAGGATTCATCAATTTAGAAATATTAACTATCAAAGTTTAAATTCAAACACAATCAATGTACGAATTAAACGTGATCCCTTTGTCACGCTTTGGGGCCGAGTGAGCCATTTGTAAGATTTACCTGTACAACGATGTCACTCTACCCGGGATATTTTGCCTATCAATAAAGAGTGTATACACACTGTATAGACCCATTTTATCCGTACATTGATTGCATATAAAGCACAACTTTTAGATTGTAAGTTTTTATTTTACCAAGCCAGTATCGAGAACAAATGTAAATTTCTATCAATAATAATAATAAATGATGCGAGGTTTTTCTATACCGCTTTATCACAATCTAGGTAATAGGTCGTCTCAAAGCGGTTTACAAATCATCACCCGTGGTTACAGGGCCTTTGCAACCAGCCGGTGCTCACAGCTACCATTCAATAAGTCAAGCTCTGCACAACCACCTATTCATTTACAGACGAGTAGACTGGAACATGCTGGGACGAAGTTCAACTGACCTTAACTTATATTCAAGATCACAGGGGTCAAATATGTTCAAAACATTTTAACATCTTCTTCAGAATAACAAAATGGTCCCGGAATTTGATGTTTTGCCAGGAACATCCTAAGATAAAAGGCTATCAAGTTTGTTCAAATGAATAATCTTGAGTTATATTTAAGGTCACAGGGGTCACTTATTTTCAAAACCTTTAAACAACGTCTTCCGAATAACAAAACGGACCAGGATGTTGATATTTGGCAAGTAACATGCTGGAATAAAGGGTTACCAAAATTGTTCAAAGGAATGAACTCGACTTAAATTCAAGGACACAGGGGTATAAACAACCTTTTCTTAATAACCAGAAGTTCCATGATGTTGATATTTGGCCAGCATCATTCTTGGATGAAAGGTTATCAAGTTTGTTCTAATGTATGACCTTGACTTATATTCAAGGACGCAGGGGTAAAGATGTTTAAAACCTATTAACAAATTATTATGATTAACAAAACGGCTATTCATTTTGTTATTTGGCTGGTAATATGCTGGGATGATGGGCTACACAATTTGCTCAAATGAATGTCTATGACTTATAATCCGTGTCACTTTGGTACAATGTTTTAAACCTATAAACAAATTCTTCTGATTAACCAAAAGGCTAAGTATTTTGATATTTGGCTGTTGATATGCTGGGATGGATGGCTACAAAGTAGCGGCTGGCTTACCCGTTTTCATTATAATATGACTGAGTGGAATACTATGATATTTAAGTGAGGTAGCACTCAAAAGTCGGTGTCAGATCCTCACGTAAACAATGAGGCAAATACACAATGATACCGCCTATAGCAATATACACATATCCACCTATACATTAACCTCCGGGAGGCTCGTCCTTAAATGACCTTAGCTGTTTTATAACACACTAAATTATATATATCAAAATAGTCGTCCATTCACATCATCTGCGATATTCTAAAATCATATTACTGTTCTCCTATGCTATTCTCAAATCCTAATAAATTGATGTATTTAAAAACAGCTTCACATCCTGATAACCGTTTCTACCACGCTACTCACAATGCATCCTTTTAATCGTTTCTCTACATTAACCTCAAAACCTTATCACTTTTCTTCTGTAGTAACCTCAAAACCTTATCACTTTTCTTCTGTAGTAACCGCAAAACCTTATCACAGTTCTTCTGTATTAATCTTAAATCTTTCTCACTGTTCTTCTGCATTAACCTCATATCCTTGAAACTTTTCTTCTGTATTATCCTCAAATCCTTATTACCGTTCTTCTACATTAACCTCAAATCCTTATCATTTGTCTTCTGTAGTAACCGCAAAGTTAATGACTGTTCTTCTGTATCAATCTTAAATCTTTATCACTGTTTTTCTTCATTAACCTATTCACTGTTCTTCTGCATTAACCTCAAATCCTCATCAATGTTCTTCTGTATTGACCTTAAATCCTCTACATTAATCTCAAATCATAAATACCATTTTTTGCACCAGCCTCAAAACTAGTGCGAATTATTCTGACGTTTTATCGACTTTTTTCATATCGGTCTGTCGTCGATTAACGTTAGGACTCCGGCCATCTATAATATGCGGGAAATATGCATCCCGCGCCCGGAGCGCACTTCAAACTGATATTTTAGAAACAAATCGTCACTTTCACACACATGTCGCGCATGGATCGAAAGATATATGTGACTGTCGCTATGTACTTACTTAGGAAGCCACATGTTCTGAGACTGGTTTCCGATACACCTTAAGGACGGAACGTACATATGCAATGGTGAACATTTATCGCCCGACTAAAAACATTAAATGGTACCATGATCGAAAGTTACAACGAATAAATGATATTCTCTCATTTCCGTTTGTGTAAGAGAGAGCTATCCAGGGTAATAAAGGGGTGCAGGAAATGTTTATCTTGTACCCCATGTCACGTGACTGGACGTCACAATGGCTCAACAGTGACGTGACGTCACGAACATGGAAAACACCGTTGCCACAATGCGGAAAAGGCAACGTGCTGAAATTGAGACCTTTTATGAAAAATCGATATTTTCTAAATGGTAGCCAGTCCAGACGCATTTTCATGGTATCTGCGCTTATTCTCGTAGTTAGAATGAGAGAAAAATACTCTTTCATGCCGAAGGGTGAAGGATAGGGAAATTCAGGATTCGGGTTTTACCTTTGAAAACCCCCTCTGGTGATATTTTCTTA